TATGTCTAACTAAACTATTGCAACTGTTTAGAAACTGAGACTTCGGTTAAGCCCTTAGGGCTCAGGGATTGAAGAGCTACCAGCTTAGAGTCCTTCATACCACATTAGCGGCCTTTCTACCCAGGCATGGCCTCACTATTTCCATGTTGTCTCTGTATCCTTACTATTTCTCTACACTCAGAATGAACCTCAGTTTCTTCTGGAGTGTTATATAGGAACTTTTGCAATCATCTCATCATCCTGTGTAAAGTGGCAACTTCTCCCTCCAGTGCTGCAGGTATTCCCTGTCAAGTCTCCTTGCTTAGATTTCCTCCACAGGACTTATTTGACATATTATACATTTAATTATATATTTATTTATTGTTGGTTTCCTTCCATTTGAATGTAAGCTTCTTGAGGGCAGGGACTTTAGGTACTGCTGTTTCTCTTGTGCCCAGACATCACATATGAGTGCTAAGTAAATATTAGTTCAGTGACTAAATGAATAAAGGGCAGAGTTTTGAGGACTAAGAATCTTAGTCTCATAGCAATCTCGTGTGTGCTGAGATTAGGAACATTCATTAACAGTGAGATTGCCCCAGCTGTAATTCATGGGTCTTCAAGGAAGATATAAAAATGAGAGACCAAACTGGGTCCCTGGGATTTACAAAAATGCTGACAATTTTAGTTTACATAGTTTCACGCTTGTAATCATTGACCCGTTTTGATAATTATTTTTGGAGACACAAGGAGAGGCAGCTCCATGGGCCTGAGGTCCCCGGGGAGGGGGTCGCCAGGTACAGCTCCTCCTCCCTGAGCTGTCACCTGTGTCCCCTCCTTGGCTGTCCTCTCCTTATCCTTACAGCCTGGTCTCCAGGTATGGCGCTGACAGTGGATGTGGCCAGGCCGGCTCCCTGGGGCTTCCGTATCACAAGGGGCAGGGATTTTCACACCCTATCACGGTGACCAAGGTGGCTGAGCCGGGCAAAGCCAAGGCTGCTGACCTCCAGCCTGGATACGTCATCGTGGCCATCAACCGGGAAAGCGCGGAGGGAATGCTGCACGCCGAGACCCAGAGCAAGATCCGCCAGAGCCGCTCACCCCTGCGGGGGCAGCGGACGGTCTCAGGCTGCATCTCCAGGGCAGACCAATGGGGACGGCTCCTTGGAAGCGTTGGCGACTCGCTTCCAGGGCTCCGTGAGGACACACACTGAGAGTCAGTCCCCCTAAAGGTCCTCCTACTCCAGCCCAGCCTCCCTCAGCCCGAGGGCCGGCAGCCCCTGCCCCCCGCCACCCGCCAGCAGCCCCCTCGCTGGAGAGGCGGCCGCCAGCCGCAGTTTCCAGAGTGTTTCGTGTTCCCCAGGCCGCCCCGCCGCTGACTGCCTGTCCCGGAAGCCAAGTCGGCGGTGCAGGTGCTGCCGCCTTCCCCGGCCCTGGCCGTTGTTCCTCCAGGCCCAGCGTGAGCTCGGAAGGGGGCAGCCTCCTCCTGGACGAAGACTCGGAAGTCTTCAAGATGCTGCAGGAAAATCGTGAGGGACGGGCGGCCCCCCGACAGTCCAGCTCCTTTCGGCTCTTGCAGGTAGCCCTGGAGGCTGAGGAGAAAGGTGGCATGCCAGCCTTCCTGCCCAGCTTGCTGGGCCCTCAGTCCTCCCTGCCCGCCTCCAGGGCCCTGGCCGCCCCGCCAAGCTCCACACCTGTGAGAAGTGCAGCACCAGCATCGCGAACCAGGCCGTGCGCATCCAGGAGGGCTGGTACCGCCACCCCGGCTGCTGCACCTGCCCGACTGTGGGCTGAACCTGAAGATGCGTGGACACTTCTGGGTGGGCCAGGAGCTGTACTGTGAGAAGCTCGCCCGCCAGCGCTACTCCGCACCCACTACCCTCAGCTCTGGGGCCTGAGCCCGCCAAGCCCTCAACCTGCTGCACTGCTGGGCCAGGGTCATGCCCATACAAGTTGGCATGGCAGGTGCAATGGTGGGCGGTTGCTCTTAGGTGAGCTAAGTTTGGGGACCTGAGGCCCCTTTATCTTCACTGGGTGGGACAAGGTCTGGGACCCGTCTTGGGCTGTGGGAGCCTCACCCTCACCCTGTCAGGACCCTCTCCCCTGCAGGACTGGCACTGTGCTAGTCTGAGGTGGCCGCTGCCTTTGATCAACCTTTGTGTGCCAGGGTGTAAGCAGGGTGGAACACAGAAGTGGGAAAGAGATGGGTGGGCCAGGGGCTAATGGTGTCACTGCGTAAAGTTTTTGACATATGAGCTCTATAAATGTATGAATATGGACAAAAAACAAACAAAAATATCTGAGGAATTTCGAGATATTGCTGAGGGGAAAAAAATGACCTTTTCTTGAAATGTAACTTGAAAACAAAATAAAATGTGAAACATAAAAAATAATAATATATATATTTTTACTTTCATAAAAGATGAAGAACATGGATTTCCAGTTTATTTCCTTGGCGACTTGGTCATACAAGCAAACATGGCAAAACCATCTCAGAACCCAAAGGACCAGCACACGGATGAACCAAATGTGAGGAGAGGAGCTGTGATATTCTGGGTGGAGAGAATCACAAGGGGAATTTGGCACAGCGCTGCTAGATACTGTGGGGTTTCAATCAACCTTTTCATTCCCAAGCTGTACACACAACTCTCTGTTTCTTGTTACACGCCTGCCTGCTCCATGCTGAAGGAGACTTCGGGGTCTTGTAGCTGAGCAGAATGTCTGTAATACAGGTAGAGGGATAGCAAGAGGAGTTTAAGTGCCGGCTGCCATCACTCAGGTCTGGGTGCTCATGACCTCCCAGGCTTGCCCCATATTCCTCATTTTCCCCATCCTGAAACTGCTGGCTGCCCATGAGCAAAGACTGGCTGAGAACTGCATCTGACATCTGGGAAGAACTAAGTGCTTTCCCAGCCACAAGACTCATTCCTGGCAAGTTATCCAGCTGTACATAAGCATCGTCGCTGTTCTGGATCGTGTGGTGTCTCTGGAGGGCCCCGGGCCTGTGGTGCTCCTGGACAGAGGGGCGTGCTGGGTACCCGAGCCCGTTGTGATCCTGCAGCTCCACTGCTTGTCCTGGAGAACTTGTATCCATGCAGTTCCCTATGACAGACTCTCTGCTGGGCACCCTATTTTTACTGAATGCAGCAGTTGGTTGATGTCCACAGGGATGTATCCCCAGTTCCTGGGTGTGACTCACAGTTCCTAGCAAAGATTCGGGGTCCCCAGGTCCACCGGTACTCAAGAGCAGAGGGCTGTCATGGCAACCTTTGGTCAATGTACTTGCACTCTTACTGTCTGGGAAGCCATCCTTGGCCCCCTCACACGAGCAGTCCTCCTCCATGCTCCCTGAATGCATCACTGCCGGCTGATGAACCATGGGGCAGGGTGGCTGAGGAAGCCTGAGATACATTCTTGTGCCCTGATTTGTAGCAGATGCTGGGGGCTGGTGTGATGGTGGTAAGAGTCAGCATTTTGATAAGATAAAGCCTGGCACTCTGTCCTGCTCTGTCCCCCAAGGCTGGGAGCCAGACTCCCTGCATCCCCTTGGTTCATGTGCCTGAACAGTTCCTGGTATTCTTGCTGTTGCTGCTGCTGCTGCCGTTGTTGCTGCCCCTTTTAATGAGCTGTGCAAACTCTGCTGGGGGCAGCAGGATGTCCGAGTGTCCAGTGAGCAAATGCCATGGAGAGAGCAGTCCTTGAAGGATGTGGGGTACCTGCAGGTGTCTTGTATAGTCTAGTGGCATGAGGGACAGCAGGGCTTGCTGTAGTGCTGATACAGTATAGTGTGGCGGCTGCTGATGTGCACTGGGAAGGAAGCTGGGGAATCGGTCAAGTGGAGAGACTTTCAGGGCTTGGGTTGGAGAGAACCCCAGTCCTGTTGAAGGGCTGTAGGTGCTGGGGCAACCCCAGGACTGGTCTGAGAACAGATGGGAGTGTAAATGCGCCTGGTTGTAGTTAGCAGGGGAGAACTGATTCACATTCAAGCTGTGAGCCTCTGCACTGTCAGCACTCAGCTGCTTGGACAAGGGACGGTGCCCATAGCTGAAGGTGGCCATCAGGTTGGTACGGTGCTGCATCTGCATCTGACTGGCACTGGGGCTGATGGAGATGCCCTGCCCACTGGATTTTGCAGCCGTGCCTGGCATGTCGCTGAGCATGTCAACAGGCTCTTGGATGGTGACCTGCTGTGATTGGGCAGGCTGCTGCATGCCCAAGCAGGTTAGTGCCACGTTGGGAGGAGAGGAACAGTTCTCAGGCTGCTGCTGGAAGATTGCACTGCTGGACGGTAAGCCTTGAAACTGGGAGGGAGATGCAGCACCGTGAGGCTGGATCATGGCACTGCTCATCGCGGGAGGACTATTACTGGGCTGCCTGAAGAGATGGTTGTTGGGGTGGTTGGGGGTGGGCTTGAAGGCTGAATCCTTAACCTCTGGAGCTGATGGGTGAGGGGGCTGGCTGATTTTCACTTGCAGCCTGAAGAGGTGAAGATGGCGGAGGAGGACAGATAGAGTCTTGAATTTGTTGCTGGAGAATTTGATGGTGCTGCTCCTGCTGGTATAATATATGCTGCTGCTGGGTCTTCTCCAGGATTCTTTCATCAATCTGCACCCCGTACATCTTCTGCAGCTGCTCAAACTCCTGCTGCAACTGTTTGATGCTGCTGCTGTTGCCCATTTTTTCCAGGTGAGCTTTGAAGGTCTGGATACTCACAGCCCCATCTGAGAACCAGCGCACAAGGAGGAAACGCTCCATAAGGAGGCTCGGAGTGTGGGAGTCCTTGTAGGTAGAGCTCTGCACAGCTTCCTGATCTGGCTCCCCATCTGAGCTCTCCTCGTCCACAGGGGTAACTGCTGGCACTGCTAGTGTCATGGTGACAAGCAGAGAGGGTCCCCGTGGGTGCTTCAGCAGCTGCTGGGCATGCAGCTGGATGTTGGCTCCTCCGTCTGATGCTCTCCGGCCAAGGGGGACCATTCCATTCAACAACTGTAGCGTGGGTGGCTGTAGGAGAGACCACTCCTTGTGCTCAAGTTGCCCGGTTGCTTGTAAATTTTGCATAGGCAACAGGTTATGCATGAAATTCATGTTAGGGGCCACCTGCAGGAGTGGAGCCTGTGGGTTGACTCCAGGAAAGCCAGGTAGGAGCTTCGGCAGATCTTCCATAACTTCCATGCATGGGTCAGCCACACCCACTGTGTGCTGCCTCATGGACAAATAGCACACCAATGCTTCAGGGGAAGGCTCTTCACCCTCATCACTGTCCAAATTCAGTATCCCATCTGGTTCCACAATTTGGTTCTCTACATTGATCAGCTGCACTGGGGAATGCTGATATTCATAGCGGTACCTGCCTGCTCCACCTGGATATTGACTGGTGCTTGAAAGGCCATGGCTCGGGGCATGCTAGGAATAGGAAGTGCTCCAAGACGCAGGGTTTTATGTCTCTTACGTCGATCACAGAGCAGGCTGTAAATTGCACTGCAGTGATCATAGGCATCAGATTTTAATGACTGCAGTGTCTGCTCTTTGTCCAGTCCTATGTCCTCCATGGCCAAGAGGACATCCTCATTCAGGGGGTCCACCTGTCTTTCTTCCTTTAGTTGTTGGCATTCAGCTATTATCCTATCAAAGTTGGGATTGGGGTCCCCTAGCTTCATCCACTTGTGTTTGCAGATCTGCTCCATGGAGAGGCGCTTATTGGGGTCTAACATCAGCATATGGCAGATCAAGTGCTCACATTCTGTGGACATAAAAAATGGGATGCAGATTTATAATCCAAAGGATTATAAATCGTTCTACTATAAGGACACATGCACAGGAATGTTTATTGCAGCACTGTAATGAACTTTACAATAGCAAAGACCTGGAACCAACCCAAATGCTCATCGATGATAGACTGGACAGGGAAAATGTGGCACATATACACCATGGAATATTATGCAGCCATCAAAAACGATCAGTTCGTGTCCTTTGTAGGGACATGGATGAACCTGGAAACCATCATTCTCAGCGGACTGACACAGGAACAGAAAATCAAACACCGCATGTTCTCACTCATAGGCGGGTGTTGAACAATGGGAACACATGGACACGGGGAGGGGAACATCACACACTGGGGTCTGTTGGGGGGGAAATAGGGGAGCACAGCGGGGGATGGGTAGTTGGGGAGAGATAGCATGGGGAGAAATGCCAGATATAGGTGAAGGGGAGGAAGACAGCAAATCATGTTGCCATGTGTGTACCTATGCAACAATCTTGCATGTTCTTCACATGTACCCCAAAACCTAAAATGCAATTAAAAGAAAAGAAAGAAAGAAAAAGAAAAAGAAACCCCTCTCTTTACTTTTCTAGCTTTGCCAAGTTCATAATTATATACTCTTTGAATTACATTAAATAATTTAACATGTCTGACAATGACTCAAAACCTAAGACATGTTTAGGAAAATGCCCAAGTTTCTGTGGGTTTTGTTCTAAGAATACTGAAGCCTTAAAATCAGAGACATGGAGTAGCTGTTGGCTTGTGGCCAGTGTACCTGAAGTGATGGTGGTTATGCTTACTCCAAAGATCAAGAAAAAAACATTTTTCTGAGACTAATCACTTTGAAAGTGTGATAATTCTAAACTCTGTATGCTTTTCACTTTCAAAAATATTTTCAAGGTAACCAAAAGTACCAGTTAAAAATATAAAGTGTTTTTTTTTCAGAAGCATTCCAGCTAATATATATAAAAGAAATGTGATAACTAGAAAATCATCAATTTGCAACTTATAATGCAATAAATGACATAGGCAACAACAAAAATTTGCTGAGCTAAGGCCAACATGAGAAAGTCTTCATCATGAGAAAAATAAATATAATTTGGTTGGACCCTTGCATGGTTCTACCTTTGGTTAAGGATGTCCTGATGGTTTTTCTGCTATCTTCTTTCTTCTCTTCACTGCACATTCTTGTTCCTCCCTCCTTTCTTCCTTAGAAAAAAAAATGCGATACGGGACTGTCCACTCAGCACACAGGCCCGCAGATTCTGCTCCCATCAAACGGCAGGGCACCGCACACAAGCACATACAGGACAACTCTGAGGCTCCAGATGTCCACTTTGGGCCCATCATATTCTTTTCCTTCAAATAGTTCAGGTGCAGCACAGGGAGGGCTGCCACACCATGTCTTCAGCAGCTGCCCAGGGGTGAAGAGGTTACTGAAACAAAAATCTGCTATTTTGATATTCAGATTGGCATCCAGAAGTAAATTTTCAGCTTTTAGATCACGATGAACGATGTTCCGACA